GTTTTCTGTATATCACACCTATTTAAAAAAATATCTCGAGCCTCACCCTTCCCTCTATGTCTTCCACATATTTCGGTAGCGGACTGGGAAGCTGCCACAATAAAGTTAACAGATTACAAATTTTACATAGGCAAGTATATTGCAGTCAACAGAGATCATTATGCTTTTTCCCTTACTGGTACAAGATATTGTTTAGACTTACCTCATGGTTAACTTCCTCTTCCTTGTCACTATCAATAACAAACTTAAAATCAATGTTATGTTCCTCCTCCTCATCTTTCTCCACTTCCTCCTGATCTTCCTCTGCTTCCTCCATATCGCTCTGCCATTGCTGCATATATTCTTCCCCTTCCTCCATATCTTTCTCACATTGCTGCATATCTTTCTCCACTTCCTGCATATCTTCTTCCCCTTCATCCATATCTGCCTCCCATTGCTCCATATCTTCCTGCACTTCATCCATATCTCTCTCCACTTCTCCCTCTTGTTGTCCGACCTCGACCACTTCTTCTCCAGCATCAACAGGCATGAAGATAATATCTGTTGAAAAGACATACATTGTTAACATCATAATTACTATTTTTACAATTATCTATAACTGACATTTACCTGCTTCTTTCTCATGCTCACATGGAACAACTTCCATTGAAACCTGACTGGGTAGTGGCTCTGACAAAACATCAACTGCCTCCTGACAGTCATCTTCATCAGAGTCAATCAGCCGTCTCGAATAACGTTTATTACTTTTCATTGGCTGCATGGTAGCCTTCTTTTTACCAATGCCCAAGGCATCATTAAGTAGAGCGCGACCACGGTGAAGATCATGCAGTTCAGGTTCGGCGACGTAAAACCGGTCCGCCGTTTCGACACTGGCACATGATTCGGGCCACCAGTCGGCGCTGCTCTTCGGGCAGGCTTCTCTGTACCTGTAAACAAGATAGATAAACTGATGACTACGGCCAGTAAAGTTAAGACAAAACCAGAAAAGACATGTTGCAAATCCGTAATTGCTAAGTCAGTGAGACAAAACCGGAAAAGACACATTGCCAATCAGAAATTGCTAAGTTAGTTAGACAACACCGGAAAAGACACAGCGACAATCAGAAATTGCTAAGTCAGTAAGGCAAAACCGGAAAAGACACGTCGCCAATCAGAAATTGCTAAGTGAGTAAGGCAAAACCGGAAAAGACACGTCGCCAATCAGAAATTACTTAGCAGTTCCTAATCTGCTAAGTTAGTCTAATGAAACCAGAAAAGACATGTCACAGTTCCTAATCCGCTAAGTTAGTCTAATGAAACCAGAAAAGACACGTCACAGTTCCTAATATGCTAAGTTAGTCTAATGAAACCAGAAATGAGACGTCACAGTTCCGACTTTGCTAAGTTAGTCAAATGAAACCAGAAAAGACACGTCACAGTTCCTAATCTGCTAAATTAGTCTAATGAAACCAGAAATGACACATCTCAGTTCCGACTTTGCTAAGTTAGTCTAATGAAACCAGAAAAGACACGTCACAGTTCCTAANTAAGATGATACCAGAAACCACACATCACAATTCCGGAATTGGTAAGTTAGTAAAACGATACCAGAAAAGTCACATAGCAATACCTGAAGTGCTAAGTTAGTAAGATCACATTTATTAATTTGCTTTGTAAGTTTGTGATTTTGCATTAGTTTTGCTATAACAAATGACAACTTGACCACAAATTACACAACAAAAGCCTTTATTTAAACAATGCATTGCAATTAAGTCAAAATAATGGTGGCTTGACTTTAAACAAAATAGTAGTTTTGTACATTTAAGAAAAATAGCCTTTATTTAAACTAAGGAAATCTGTTCTCAAATAAAAATGATGGCAGCTTGACATTAAACAGGAATAGCAGTTTTGTACATTTAACAAAAATAGCCTTTATTTAAACAAAAGATGTCTGTTCTCAAATCAAAATGACGGCAGCTTGGCTTTAAACAGAAATGCAGGTTTTTAAAATTTAGGTACAAAAGTCCTTATTTTAATAAATCAATTTTCTAGGTCAAAACAATGCCACCTTTGCTTTAAAATAACAAGTTTTATTAAATTTAACAAAAGTTTTTATTTAAACAATACAAATCTGTTTCTTAATCAAAATAATGCCACCTTTACTTTAAAACAAAAGTTTTTTTTTAATTGAAACACCTACTGCCACTTAAGAGTTCTGGAGACATCTTAATCATCATCGCTCATGGTCATTGCATCTTGTCTGAAAAACAAAAACAATGACAAGAACCATGATGTAATAATTGCACTAATTGTTTCTAAATGTTAAATGTTAGTGGATTACCGTTGCAGGAGCTGGACTAAGCTCCTAAAGTTGTCAATGGTCAACCGTAATACTTTGCATGATAGTAGCAACTGGGTGTTTTTCATCAAAGTACTGTTTATCTGAAAAAACAGCATTAGGTTATGTTACTGTTTTGGTCAGGATGCATGAAGTTATATGCAATAGTCTTCCTGTTAGTGTAGCACAAGCTAAAACCATGGGTTCCTTTAAATCAGAGCTAGATAAGATTTTGTCAACTGTGAGCTATTAGTTAAGTTATCCCCAAACAACCTTTGACGGGCTGAATAGCCCACACTTGTCTGTCGTTTTTTATGTTCTTATGTACTGTTCATAAGTATGAACAATTAAAGTGACAAAGCATACTTACGATTTGTGTCGTAATTTTCTGATTCCAATAACTGCTAAATTTCTCCCTCACCATGGCCTTTAGTGATTCAGGATATACAAGCCGTCTTCTACATCTTAATCTCTGAAATATAACACAGGCAGCATGTCTTTGATAATAACATACATGATTTCTATATATCAGACCTATTAAAAGAAAATTTCAAACCTCACCCTTCCATCTATGTCCTCAACATATTTCGGAAGTGGACTGAGAACCTGTCACAAGAATGTTAACAGAGATTATAATTTTTGTATAGGTAAGATACTGCAGTCAACAGAGATCAAGGTATTGGTGAGACTTACCTTTGGGCTATCTTCCTCTTCCTCGTCATCGTCCAAAACAAAGTTGAAATCAATGTTCTCTTCCTCCTCATTTTCACCACCTTCCTCATCTTTCTCCATTTCCTCTAGATCTTCTTCCTCATTTTCACCACCTTCCTCATCATCTTTCTCCATTTCCTCTAGATCTTCCTCATTTTCACCACCTTCCTCCTCATCATTCTCCATTTCCTCTAGATCTTCCTCCCCTTCTCCCTCTTCTTGTGTCACCTCAACCACTTCTTCCCCAAAATCAACAGGTATGTAGACAATACTATCTGGAAAGAAACATTATGTTAGTGTCATGATTACTATTTGTACTTTAATCTGTAGCTGACAACTACCTGTTTCTTGCTGAGGTTCACATGCAGGGTCTTCCTCCAAAATGTGACTGGGCAGTAGGACTGGCGAAACACCAACTGCCCCCTCCTGGTCATCGTCATCAGAAGACAACACCTGGGGTCTCAGCCTCTTGTAAGGTGTACTGGTTTTCAATGCCTTACTTTTACCAATACCTAAGGCCTCATTCACAAAAGCACGACCCCGTTGCAGATCGTTCACTTCCAGTTCGGCGACATAAAACTTATCTGCTGTTGTAAGACTGTGACACATAATTTGGGCCACTAGTCTGCGCTGGTCATCAGGTAGGTTTCTCTGTGCCTGCAGACAAGATACATGATCTGATGACTAGCGCTAGAGAAGTTAGTAAGATGAAACCAGAACACAAATTTTCAATCAGAAATCACTTAGTAGGACGAAGCCAGAAAAATATGTTGCAAATCCGGAATTGCTAAGTTAGCAAGATGAAGCCAGAAAACAAAAACATCAAATCAGAAATTGCTAAGTAACTAGGACAAAGCCAGATAAATCATGTCGCAAATCCGGGATCGCTAAGTTAATAAGACAAAACCAGATAAGACATGTCGCAAATCCGGAATTGCTAAGTTAATAAGACAAAACCAGAAAAGACATGTTGCAGATCCAGAATTGCTAAGTTAAGACAAAACCAGAAAAGATGTCATAAATTAATAATCTATCATACACTAAGCACATCACTATTGCTTTAAATTTAGACTTACACAGGTCGCAACGGCAGAGCGAATCTCTGTGACGCTGAAGCCCCTGCACATCCCACAATCCAGGCATGTTTTTCTCACAAGCTCGCAGAGCTTTTTTAGTGGCTCTCCGGAGGAGGAAAAGAAAAATGTCCCTGGATTGTGGTGGTATCCTGATAGTCTTCGTCTCATTTGCACAAACTGCTGCATCCACAAGTACTCCCTGTTGTTGAGGGCAATTTTTGCCCTCCCGAATGATCCAGACGTCTTGTGGCTGGACACCTTTAAGAATGCAACAATGTGTTACTCAGCATGGAGGCTCCCTGGGTGCCGCTAAAGGTGGCTGCCCTTTGCAGACAGCTTGCGCTACAAAGAACAAGGCAATAAAGGATATATTATTATTATTATCATTATTGAAAACCAAGCAGGTCAATTCACAACTTAACTATCCCAAAGCACATTACATTGGTGTGTCACGATCTAATAATCAGTACAATATCAATTTTTTGGTACTCACGTTGATGACATATAGATTATCTATCTCCTGGCACTCATTAAATTCAGTTAGTGTGAGGTTTACGAGCACACTCACACGGTGCCCAGTACAGATAAATATATACGTTGCCAGTGCGCCTATTGCCTCGTTTCTTGTGTTTATGCAACTGGGGTCTTCAGATAGTTCATCTGTGAGCAAAACATATTAAGGCATTTACAAGACTTTTTCAAGAATCCTTATGCATTACAACTACATTTTTTTAAAAAGTGATCAGTGGTCATTGTTAACAAGCCACAGCACACAGTGCACACCAAAATGTATCCTCTGCATTTAACAAATATGTGACATCGTGACATTGCAGGGGGCAGCTAATTCAGCAAATGTAGCCCCCCACTACCAGAAATTATGCAGTTGAGATTTCCACATTTCAGCAATTTGCATTTCTTACCAAGAAATTCTGGAATTCGGCCCCGTAGTGTCGTGATTAGCTCACGCAGGTCGTTTCTGGTAGGCATCTTCCTTGTTTTGAGCTCTTTAACATGTTGCCGGTGCCCTACTATCTTTTTTGCTAGGGAATGTTTCTGCATTTTTAAATGCCTCAACAGACCCTCTAAAATTTTTTGGCCAAGCCGTACAGAGCTTGGCCGTCTCTCAATTAGAAATTCAAAAAACTTGCAAACGGAAATGAGATAATTTTTGCAGGTCGTGACTTTAAATTTTTCTGTCAAAACCTTCACCCAATCATTTAATTTGCTTGGTTCATTCAGGAATTTCAAGTGAGCAGGTGCTGTGTCAGATGAAGAGCCCCACATAAACTGAATGAAGCTCTTTATGTAACCCAGTTCCTGCTTCTTGTTTTCACCTTTTTTCTTGTCGGCACCAACACGAAATAGGGACTCCTGAAAATCTGGAAGTATTTTATCTATAAGAAAGGAACACAATTAGCCATCTGTAATGTGGCTATTTATAATGTGAATAGCAATCTTCGGGTGACAGCGGTACTACATGACCATAATGCAGGTAAAACAAAGGTGACCAGTTTAACCTAATTTTAAAAGCTTTAACCATTTCAGGCTCAAATTGAGTTTTTGTTGCTAAAGGACAACCAAGACCTGCAGTGGTACTTTTTAGTAAAAAAAAACTAATAAAATATGTATGTGAGGTAATAAGGTAGTTAGTTTTTAACTGTTGCAAATCAGCAACGCCTGCCTTGAGAAGGTTAAAATTCCCAACAATGGACGTTTTGAAAAGAATTACATTATGTATATAGTCAACATTTCTTTTAACATTTCTGTAAGATATAGTTATGAAATAAAATACACAAGAAAAATACTAGGCATTGTCAACAATGCCGTCAACTACAGAAGTTTAAAATAACTGCATAATATAAATATTATACTTATTATTATACTTACCAATAAAGAAGAGCTTATGTGTTGCTTGGCTGGGGCCTGATTTGTCCAAATTCTCCCCTTCAAATTCATCAAGGCGGGATTGAAGCTCTGTGACTTGGCGCTTCAATTCCTCAATCTCGCTGTCTCTCTTATTATTTTCCCCTCTATGCTTCATGACTGCTTTTTTTGCAGCAGCACATTTGGCTTCATGAAGCATAGTCTTAAGATCGGCACCACTCTTGCCATGAATGATTTCTAGGTGCTTGTCTAGCCGAATCAACTTTTTCGAAACACAACCAGGTATTGGGCAGTCCACTGCACCAGAATACCGGCCTGTCTTACAAGAAACGAGGAGCCTTCGCTCCTCGTTGCTTGTAATGTTATGCACATCCCTCAAATGTACTGTCACATTCATATAGTGCACTTGACACAGTGGGCAAGGCAGCCTTTTACGAACCATGTTGCATCCTTTGAAAAAATAAAAATGCAATTACATAGATAGATTGATAGATACTTACCTTATCGTAAATAAATATAGACAAAAGGAAAGAAACCGTAAAACACATATCACAGTTCCAAAGTTGCTAAGGTTTCTATAATGATACCAGAAAACACACGACACAGTTGCAAAGCTGCTACATTAGTAAGATGATACCAGAAAACACATCACAATTCCTGAATTGCTAGGTTTGTATAATGATACCAGAAAACACATCACACTTCCAAGGTTGCTAAGTTAGTAAGATACAACAGAAAAGACACATCGCGATTCCAGAATTGCTAAGTTAGTAAGATGACACCGGAAAACATACATCGCAATTCCATAATTGCTAGGTTAGTGGAATGAAACCAGAAAACACACATCACAGTTCTAAAGTTGCTAAGTTTGTATAATGATACCAGAAAACACACATCACACTTCCAAGGTTGTTAAGTTAGTATGATACACCAGAAAAGACACATCGCGATTCCAGAATTGCTAAGTTAGTAAGATGACACCGGAAAACATACATCGCAATTCTAAAATTGCTAAGTTTGTATAATGATACTAGAAAACACACAACAGAATTCCTGATTTGCTACGTCAGTAAGATGACACCAGGAAACACACATTGCAATTCCTGTATTGCTAAGTTAGTAAGATGACACCGGAAAAGACACTTCACAATTCCGAAATTAAAATAAGATAAACATAAAATAAGTACAGAAGTTGTTCAGCTCAACTAGAGAAATTATATAACTATACATAAAGTGCATTCGCAAGAAAAGTCAAAAGACTGAAGTTATAAATTAAGTGTACAATCTTATGGCAGTAGGGAAGACTAATTTTTTTTCTAAATAATTAAACATATTCATGTTTTTCAAGATGAATCATCATATCCACAAACTACACAGCAAACCGAATAACTACTTACCAAAAATGATCAGAAATGCAATTCCGGAAAATGATTTGTATTCCCCTGATGATCCGCTGTTCCACAAAGTAACACGCTGCAAGTCTGAAGAGTTCTGAGCAGCCTGAGAGTGAGCAAAGCCTTTTATACTGCCCCACCCACTGTGCTGATTGACACAGATTCGCCCCAATGAATGCTCTCAGTTTATAAAATGAAATATTTTATGCATGTTTAAATGTCCCCTTTAACAAAAAAAAATTATAATTATTTTTAAAGTAATTTGTTACATTTATTTTAATTAATTATACATGGAAAAAATTACACGTCACAGTTC